AGGTTGCAACCCGCAAGGGGTCATAAGGGTATAATGCATTTATCCGATGATATCCCTGTATATCCCTTCGGTAATGATCAGGGCAATCCTCTATAGTGGCGATGGTAAGCACTCATCAGCGTACCAACAATGAAAACTCAGAGGTCCCCTCACGGATATGGCCAGAAACTCCTCTCCAATAGCCCACACCTGGAAACTAAATAAAAAAAAAAACTCCCATAGTGTAGTAAGTAAATGTTTATTGAATAAAAAACAGCAGAGTGACTACTCACATTCGGAAACAGGTCCACAGACCCATACAGGCATGTGATAGCAGAGAGGTGTACAATACTAAGGTCTACCAAGATGGTGGCTGCCATCTGTACTGAAAATTATGTCACCAAGCTTCCGTTCTACACGTTACATCATGAATCACGTGACTTCCTCAGGGCAAGAAAGGTGGTGATGGGAAACTCCATATATAGGGAGCAAACAACTGAAATCACTTAGAGGGCAGAGATATATTAGGAGAGCGTTTTATTAGAAAAGGTTATCAGCCCAGTTCCCTCGAAGAAACAGTACAAAAAGTGAGGAAGCTGGTTCGGAAAGGGCTAATTGAAGACAAGAAGAAGGATTATGGATTATGGGACCAGATACCTATCATTTTGGACTATAATGTGCATCATAGGAACATAGAGAGGATGTTCAAAAAAATACTGGCCACTGCTTAGGTCTGATTACAGGAGTTATTACCAGTTTACCCCGAATTTGTCTATAGGCGTGCTCCCACCCTAAGGGGTCCCCCAAAGACTAGCAAACAGGTGACGTTTTTCTAATTAGTAAAGGGTTTTTTCTGTGTAAACAGTGTTATACCTATGTGGCGACCAGAGGTCAGAATTTGAAATGGAATAAGTTTATGTCACACACCAATGGGTAGGAATTTTTATCAAGGATTTTATTACATGTAGATCAGAAGGAGTGGTTTATGCCTTTCAATGTTCTTGTGGCTTACAATATATTGGGAGAACTAAAAGGCCTCTGTGGAAAAGACTCCGGTAACATGTTCAAAATATCAAGAAAGGGTACCCTAAACTTAGTGTATCCAGGCATTTTGCCACCCATCATGGTAAAGATTCCTCATCATTAGTGTTTTGGGGGATTGAGAAATTTCAGCTGCACTGGAGAGGGAGCAACAAGATTCAGTCCCTGAGTCAGGCCAAATCGGGGTGGATTTACACTATGAAAAACATTGGCCCAGGACTCAATATTGAGTTAGACATTTACTGTTTCATTAGTCCTCCTGCTGAGTTTATTGTGGTTCCACATTTACATGTACAGTTGTGTTCAAAATAATAGCAGTGTGTTGAAAAAAAGTGAATAAAGCTCAAAATCCTTCTAATAGCTTTTATTTCCATACACACAAATGCATTGGGAACACTACACATTCTATTCCAAATCAAAACATGAAGAAAAATATATCAAATTTGTGTTGTTCCTCTAAAAAAATTAAAGAAAAATAAATATTAGACTGTTCAAAAAAATAGCAGTGTTTGTATTCTTCTTTACAAACTCAAACATTCACTATATAAACTGAAAAATGTTTGAAGATTTTGCTTTCCTTTGAATCACTTAATTAATATTTAGTTGTATAAGCACTGTTTCTGAGAACTGCTATACATCTGTGTTGCATGGAGTCAACCAACTTCTGGCAACTGTGAACAGGTATTCCAGCCCAGGATGACTGGACTACATTCCACAGTTCTTCTCTAGTTCTTGATTTTGCCTCAGAAACTGCATTTTTTAGGTCACCCCCACAAGTTTTCTATTGGATTAAGATCCGGGGATTGGGCTGGCCACTCCATAACGTCAATCTTGTTGGTCTGGAACCAAGATGTTGCACGTTTACTGGTGTGTTTGGGGTCGTTGTCTTGTTGGAACATCTATTTCAAGGGCATTTCCTCTTCAGCATAAGGCAGCATAACCTTTTCAAATATTCTGATGTATTCAAACTGATTCATGATCCCTGGTATGCGATAAATAGGCCCAGCACCGTAGTATGAGAAACATCCCCATATCATGATGCTTGCGCAACCATGCTTCACTGTCTTCACAGTGTACTGTGGCTTGAATTCAGTGTTTGGGGGTCATCTGACAAACTGTCTCCAGCCACTAGACCCAAAAAGAACAATCTTACTTTCATCAGTCCACAAAATGTTGTGCCATTTCTCTTTAGGCCAGTCAATGTGCTCTTTGGCAAATTGTAACCTCTTCAGCACATGTCTTTTTTTCAACAGTGGGACTTTGCGGGGGCTTCTTGCAGATAGTTTGGCTTCACATAGGCGTCTTCTAATTGTAACAGTACTCACAGGTAACTTTAGACCTTCTTTGATCTTCCTGGAGCTGATTGTTGGCTGAGTCCTTGCCATTTTGGCTATTCTTCTAGCCATTCGAATGGTAGTTTTGTCGCTTTCTTCCACGTCTTTCAGGTTTTGGTTGCCATTTTAAAGCATTTGCAATCATTTTAGCTGAGCAGCCTATCATTTTCTGCACTTCTTTATATGTTTTTTTTTCCCTCTCCAATCAACTTTTTAATCAAGGTACGCTGTTCTGAACAATGTCTGGAACGACCCATTTTCCTCAGAATTTCAGAGAGAAATACACTGTAATAAGCATGTACAACATTTGCTGCCTTCCTTCCTTAAATAAGGGCAATAATTGCCACCTGTTTTTCTAAGAATGAATGACCTCACTAATAGAACTCCACACTGCTATTATTTTGAACATGCCCCTTTCAATTAGTGATTTAATTACACAGAATCAGCAGCATGCATGTCATGACTGTTGGGTCTGTTGGATTTCTATTACTCTACTACACCTGCTAGTAAATTATTTACCATGTAGAAATATAATTTCTACCAAAAACAGTGATTGATCAGGTCGGTGATGTCTGACTGCTATTATTTTGAACACAACTGTATATGTATTTTTTTATGTTTCTTACTATTACTGCATCTTGTATTATTTTTTCTATCTATATTCATTGCTGGCATTTCCTTTTTCTCCATTTATCGACACTTTAATATTTTTATTTATTTTTATCTTGGTCTTGCATTATTATTGTTTTTTTTTCCCATATTATACAGTATTAGTATTATTATTTCTCCCCTTGTGAGGCTGAGAGCCGTTCTTTTATGTATTTTTATTGGTATCATGCTCCAGTTTTATGTTATATTTAGTGACTGTTTTCCCATGGAGGGTACTTGTCGATATTATGTATGATGTCCTTGGTCTGGACTTCAATAAAATGGCCACCATCGCAGTCTGCCCCCCCTAAGTGATTTCAGTTGTTTGCTCCCTATATATGGAGCTTCCCATCGCCACCTGCCCTGAAGAAATCATGTGATTTGTGACACAACACTTAGGATGGAAGCGTGGTGACATAATTTCCGGTACAGATGGCAGCCGCAATGTTACTACACCTTAATGTTGTACACCACTCTGCTATTGCAGTTTTCCATGCCTCTATGGATCTGTGGACCCGTTTCCAAATGTGAGTAGTCACTCTGCTGTGTTTTTTATTCAATAAACGTTTACTTACTACACTATGGGAATTGTGTTTATTTCATTTCCATGTGTGGGCTATGGGAGAGGAGAGAATTTCTGGCCATATCCATGAGGGGACTTCTGAGTTTTCAATATCATCCAATTTATCATTATATAGGGGGTCTGTTTTTTCCCCAGTCATTGGGTAGTGCAGCATCAATATTTCCATACACTTTTTTGACACTATTGGTACTATAGGCAGGTGTTAGCAGCCACCCAGTTCTGTTTAGGTACTGGCAGTGCAGGAGTATTTTTACTGTTTTGTCCACTATAGGTTTATAGTTTTTATACATACAATGCAGCCCTCCTCTTACTCACATATTCAAACACAATCCCCCCCAACTGGTTCTTCACACATACAAGCAATGCAGCCCCCCCCCTCCTCACACATACATATAATCCAGTCCCCTCCTCCTCACATATATAAATGCTGCCCCAACCTCCCTATTCTCTTCTCGCATAATAAAATACATCCCCCCTCACCATCACACATACAGTTGTGTTCAAAATAATAGCAGTGTGTTGAAAAAAGTGAATAAAGCTCACAATCCTTCTAATAGCTTTTATTTCCATACACACAAATGCATTGGGAACACTAAACATTCTATTCCAAATCAAAACATACAGAAAAATATATCAAATTTGTGTTGTTCCTCTAAAAAAATTGAAGAAAAGTGAATATTAGACTGTTCAAAAAAATAGCAGTGTTTGTAGTCTTCTTTACAAACTCAAACATTCACTATATAAACTGAAAAATGTTTGAAGATTTTGCTTTCCTTTGAATCACTTAATTAATATTTAGTTGTATAAGCACTGTTTCTGAGAACTGCTGTACATCTGTGTTGCATGGAGTCAACCAACTTCTGGCACCTGTGAACAGGTATTTCAGCCCAGGATGATTGGACTACATTCCAGAGTTCTTCTCTATTTCTTGGTTTTGCCTCAGAAACTGCAGTTTTTTTGAGGTCACCCCACAAGTTTTCTAATGGATTAAGATCCGGGGATTGGGCTGGCCACTCCATAACGTCAATCTTGTTGGTCTGGAACCAAGATGTTCCACGTTTACTGGTGTGTTTGGGGTCGTTGTCTTGTTGGAACACCCATTTCAAGAGCATTTCCTTTTCAGCATAAGGTAGCATAACCTCTTCAAGTATTCTGATGTATTCAAACCGTAGTATGAGAAACATCCCCATATCATGATGATTGCGCAACCATGCTTCACTGTCTTCACAGTGTACTGTGGCTTGAATTCAGTGTTTGGGGGTCGTCTGACAAACTGTCTCCAGGGCCACTAGACCCAAACAGAACAATCTTACTTTCATCAGTCCACAAAATGTTGCACCATTTATCTTTAGGCCAGTCAATGTTAAACATGCTCTTTGGCAAATTGTGAAACCACTTCAGCACGTCTTGAAGCGTTTTCAACAGTGGGACTTTGCACAGGGGACGTCCTGCAGATAGCTTGGCTTCACATAGGCGTCAGTATGCCAAAAGCCTAATTGATAGTGTTCTGTGGACAGTAGAACTCACAGGTAACTATTTAGACCTTCTTTGATCTTCCTGGAGCAGGTACAGGGAAGCTTCGATTGTTTGACTGAGTCCTTGCCATTTTGGCTATTCTATCCATTCAAATGGTAGTTTTTCGCTTTCTTCCACGTCTTTCAGGTTTCGGTTGCCATTTTAAAGCATTTGCGATCATTTTAGCTGAGCAGCCTATCATTTTCTGCACTTCTTTATATGTTTTCCCCTCTCCAATCAACTTTTTAATCAAAGGCACGCTGTTCTTCTGAACAATGAACAATGTCTGGAACGACCCATTTTCCTCAGAATTTCAATAATTGCCACCTGTTTTTCTAAGAATGAATGACCTCACTAAAAGAACTCCACACTGCTATTATTTTGAACATGCCCCTTTCAATTAGTGATTCAATTACACAGAATCAGCAGCATGCATGTCATGACTGTTAGGTCTGTTGAATTTCTATTACTCTACTACACCTGCTAATAAATTATTTGCCATGTAGAAATATCATTTCTACCAAAAACAGTGATTGATCAGGTTAGTGATGTCTGATTGCTATTATTTTGAACACAACTGTACAAACAATGCAGCTCCTACCACAGTAACTTACCGCATGTCACCTGAAGTTGCAACAGGTGGGGCTTGAAGGCTGTGGGCAGCACAGTAAAAGCTAGCTAGCTGCAGAGGTGGCTGACAAGCTTGAGGAGGATGAATCTTACCATGGGGTGCCCCCATGAAATCAGTGTGTTGGGACTACTGATTGCCCAATTGTCCCAGCCCTGCTGTCACTGTTTACAGAGCAGAATAGCTCAAACTAAATTTTGCACACACACACACGAGAGAGAAGTGACTTGTTCATTATCAAAAGGCTCCATCAAGCTTAAACACAGGTGGTGAGTAACATTGTAACTTGTGAGTTCTGTTGGAGTTTGTTTAATTTCCTTGTTCTGTGCTTGCGTGTGCTCTGACTGTATGTTTTTTACCTTGTTACTATGCATGGTTTTTAAATGTGTATGTAGTGTCTGTGTGGGAAATGCTTGTGTTTTGATGCTGTGTAAGCTCAGACTGTGCATGTTCTGTATGTTCGCTGGGCGTTCTGTCACTCAAAGCATCCTCAAAGCCTCCATAGAAGTCTATGACAGAGCTTGCTAACAGCACCTGCAGCTTTTATGGGGCTTTCATTCAGAGTAAGCATTGCTTTGTTTTGGAGGTATTGCAGGTATGAAATATCCCAGGATGCATTGGGAAACCAACAAGTGAACCAGAAAGCCGTCATCAGCAGTCATTTCAAGTTCATGTGTATATAATCTGGAAGTGTCTGGTGCAGCGTGGAGCAGCAGGAAAGTGAATGGGGTTTGGACTGGAGCAGAGCAACTAGCAGATGGCACATGTGGTGAGCAACATGGGAGATCTATAGCAGATGGTGAACGGGGACCAGAGAGAGGACTGAGAGGTGGAGGATCAGCAGAGCTTGCATATGGGTGCAGGAGAAACTAGCAATGTCACACGTGGTGCACAGTGTCGGAGCAATATAGCGGGAAGTGAGTGGGGACCAGAGGGAGAGGAAGATAAGCAACCCAGAGGATCAGTAGAGCTGGGGGTTACTACTGAACGAGGGATCAACAGAGCTGGGGGTTACTACTGAGCAGGGGATTGGCTGAACTAGGGTACCAATGAGCTGGGGATCTGCTAAATGGGGGTACTACTGAGCCGGGGGTTTTACTGGGTCCCTTTAAATCAAAGAGAAAATTAACACACACTTTGCCAAGCTTCATTAAAGAACCAAAAAAGCATCACAGAAGCATCAAAAACACATCAGAATGTTGAAGCAGTAGACACTTTAATGTGTGGTAAAGTCAAAGCAAGTGTAAATGAGCCCTCACTGAGATTGTAAGGCTAAATGAGTGCAAGACCTTTTCAGTACTTCTAAGAGGAAATAGTGTGTGCTCTTCTCTTTTTATATCTTATACCCTATGAAAAGCCCCCTTAAAATAAGTACATAAGCCCACTGAAGTGACTACAGGTGATATACAGCGATTAATTAAATCCTCCTACATAAGTTGTACCTGTTTATCTGGCCCTCTCTCCTCCATAGCCTTCAGTATAGTTTAGATGGCATTTCTCAGGTTCCAGGAGACAGGCTGCAGGGATCTGACATCACAGACTGCACAGCAGAAAGCTTTAATCAAGGGAATAGACACCCTCCCCCACCACCGCTACCACACAGTCTCATAGACAAACATTCAATAAAATGGAATATAGTGAGCGCTTGGACAAAGAACACAGCAGCTGTACACCAAAAAAGGCACCATATATAACCTTCTGAAAATATTCAAATAAGGGGGGTGCAGCGATATATATAAAATGACAGACACTCATAAAATACAAATAGTAAATAGTGACTTAGTGCAAATGAGATAAAGCCACTTAATGGTGGCTATAAAGTGACACACAGGTGTAAAAATAATAAAAAGAGTCCAAAGAAGGGGTGCTCTTAAGATCCAAGATGATCTTCAGATGTCCAATGATTGGAACAACCAGGTGATAAAGATGTAAAGATTGCGCACTCACCAGATACGCAATCTTTATGCGCATTTGTATATCAAATCACTGGACCACTGATGTCATCACATTAGGTCTGGTCAGATCTGGTCATGTGGCTCCTGCTGCCTGGCACTCGGATAGATGCGGCTACTCTGTGGATCTGGCTGGTTTTCACCAGAGACAAACATGCCAATCTAATGCAGAGTATACAAAGGCCAAAAATCTGCCTGTTTGGCAAGAACTACTGACTTTTGGTCCATGTGTAATGCTGAAGCTGTTCTAACAGTCATGCTGAAAATCCAGCATTCAATCAGCACTTTCAGCTGACGAAGGGGGGGGGTGGGGTTGAGGAGAGTCCCAGAGTCAGAATGGAGAGGAGAGATCCCTGCATTACACATTTTTTGTGGTGATCGGTCTTTTTTTTTTTTTTTTTCAATCCACTGGTTGAACAAAAAGACTGAACGTGTATACCCTGCTTTAGGCTCAGTCACCTGCTGTGTGATTGGGGTGGAGGTCACCCTGGAATGCCTGGTGTCAGGGAAGACTGTCAGATATGACTCATGCAGATAGTTACATAGTTAATCTGGCTGAAAAAAGACAAAAGTCCATCCAGTTCAGCCATTGAAAAAAAAAAAGTTATAATCCTATACCCAAAGTTGATCCAGAGGAAGGCAAAAAAAACCCAGCAAAGCATGATCCAATTTTCTCTCCTGCAGGGAAAAAAAATTCCTTCCTGATCCCCCGAGAGGCAATTGGATATTCCCTGGATCAACTTTACCTATAAATGTTAGTATCCAGTTATATTATGTGTATCTAAGAAAGAATCCAGGCCTTTTTTAAAGCAATCCACTGAGCTGGCCAGAACCAACTCTTGAGGGAGTCTATTTCACATTTTAACAGCTCTCACTGTGAAGAAACCTGTGTTTGGAGATTACGTTTCTTTTCCTCCAGACGTAAAGAGTGCCCCCTTGTCCTCTGTGATGACCTCCTGGTGAATAACTCTACACCGAGTTCACTATATGAACCACCGATGTATTTATACATGTTGATCATATCCCCCCTTAGTCTCTCTTCTGAAGAGAGAATAAATTTAGTTCCTCTAATCTTTCCTCATAGCTGAGCTCCCCCATGCCTCTTATCAGTTTGGTTGCCCTTCTCTGTACTTTCTCCCGTTACCCAATGTTCTTTTTGTGAATTGGTGCCCAAAACTGAACTGCATATTCCAGATGAGGTATTACTATTGATTTGTACAGGGGTAAAATGATATCTCTCACTGGAGTCTATACCTCTTTTAATACAAGAGAGGATTTTGCTCGCTTTAGAAACTGCAGCTTGGCATTGCATGCCATTATTAAGCTTGTGATCTACCAAAACTCCCAGATCCTTCTCCACCATTGACTCCCCCAGTTGTACTCCCCCTATTATGTATGATGCATGCATATTCTTAGCCCCCAAGTGCATAACCTTACATTTACCAACATTAAACCTCATTTGCCACATAGGTGCCCAATTAAACAGTGCATTGAGGTGGCCTTGTAAGATGAAGACATCCTGTAAGGACGTTATTTCACTGCACAGCTTGGTGTCATCTGCAAAGACTGAAATGGTATTTTTTACTTATTGTTTATAAATATATTAAAAAGTACGGGTCCCAACACTGAACCTTGGGGTACACCAGTGAAAACCCTAGACCATTCAGAGTATGAATCATTAACCACTACTCTTTGAATACGATCTTTTAGCCAGTTTTCTTTTTACATACAGATTTTTCCAAGCCTGTAGACTTTACCTTGCACATTAGCCGTGTGTGGGGAACTGTGTCAAACACTTTTGCAAAATAGTATGCCACGTCCACCACCACCCCTCTGTCCAAGGTTTTGCTCACCCCTACATAAAAAGAAATCAGATTTTTTTGACAACTTCTTTCTTTCATTAATCCATGCTGTCTGTTGCTTAGAATATTTTTTTCCAGCAAGAACTCATCTATGTGGTCTTTTATTAAACTCTCAAGTATCTTCCCAACTATAAAAGTTAAAATAACAGATCTATAATTAGTTGGTAAATATTTTGACCCCTTTTTAAATATTGGCACCACATTGGCCTTACGCCAATCCAGTGGTACTATGCCAGTCATTAAAAACAGTCCCTAAAAATTAGAAACAATAGCTTTGAAATGACAGAGCTCAATTCTTTAAGGACCCGTGGGTGTATGCCATCCAGTCCAGGTGCTTTATTCACCTTTATACTGTCTAAATATTTTTTGATCATATCAATTGTGAGCCAATGGGGATCATCTGGGGCTGTGTCAATACCATGCCCATTATGGACAAGAGCTCCCCCATGCTCTTTTGTATAGCAGTGGAAGGAGAAAGCAGACAGGATCCATACTAGGTGATGTGGACTGGGGCAAGTACACCCCCATCTTCCCAGAAAAGCAGAACAAAAACATAAAAATATAATTTTATTGAAATTAAATAAGTTACACGAAAAATCCAATAACAATGCTTTGTTATCCTGTAGTACCCGTTATCTATGCTGTGAACCATGGATTATATATGGATCTTCATTGTCTGGTTTATCCATTCTCATAGGCACTGGATAAGCAACTGAAAAAAAAACATAAAGACACTTTTGAATACAAAATAACTTAATTGAAAGAAGTAGGATATATTTAGATATTCTACACAGAATCTGCACTTATCAGATGTAAAGAGGTACAGTGCTCAGCAAAAATGAGTACACCCCAACAGATTGGTCAGAAAAGCTATATTTTCCTTTCAGAATCAACAATTTCTATGGGACACTATACTGCGAAATACTCCCACAAAAGCGGGCCATTGGTTGTACGCACAAAAAAGTATTTTTCCTAAAAAATTAATTCAAGACCATATTGCAAAAATGAATACACCCCAATGAAAGTCTGCGGAGGAAAGCTAAAATTTTAGACAACAAAATCCTAATTAACAAGAATTCAACTACAGTTGAGTCTAATTATTCATTAAACAGGTGCACAGCAGACAGTTGTTCATAAAAGGGCGTTACTTAACCACTTGCCCTCCTGAGGATTTACCTCCCTTCCTGACCAAGCCATTTTTTTGCATTACGGGAATGCGTTACTTGCAACACTGCACCCAAATTATATTTATATCCTTTTTTCCCCTACGAATTGACCTTTCTTTTGGTGGTATTTGATCGCCTGTGAGGTTTTTATACTACAAAAAAACAAAATAAACAAAAGACCTACAATTTGAGAAAAAAAAAACAAAAAATATTTTTGACTTTTTGCTATTAACCACTTGCCTACCGGATATTTATACCCCCTTCATGCCCATGCCAATTTTCAGCTTGCAGTGCTCTTGCATTTTGAATGACAATTGCGCGGTCATGCAACACAGCACACATATGACATTTTTATCATTTTTTTTTTTCACACAAATAGAGCTTTCTTTTGGTGGTATTTAATCGCGGCTGGGTGTTTTATTTTTTGTGCTATAAACAAAAAAAGAGCAAAAATTTTGAAAAAAAAAAAAAAAAAGTTTTTCTATGTTTCTATTATAAAATTTTGCAAACAGGTAATTTTTCTCCTTCACTGATGTGTGTTGAAGAGGCTGCACTGATAGGCGGTATTGATGGGCACTGATGAGGTAGCACGGATAGGCAGCACTGATAAGCAGCAATGATGGGCACTGATTGACGGCACTGCTGGGCACTGACTGGTGGCACTGATAATCAGTGCCCTGATGATCGCTGCCGATCTGTCCTCTGACAATTGCTGGTTATCGGCAGTACTTTCCTCATGCTGTGACAGCGTGAGGAAAGTGCAGCCGATAACTGGCAACTACATTTACTGGTGATCTGCGGTGTCATTGGACACGGCTGATCACGTGGTAAAAGGCTGCTGTGATTGGCCTTTTACCACATCATGTGATTAGCTGTGTCCGCGGGTGCGGGAAGGCGCGTTCTGGGAGGACGTCACATGACACCCTCCCAAAACTGTCCGGCCGCAGTGAAGCTGTCATTTGGCTATCTGCGGTCGGCAAGTAGTTAAACATGTCCAGCAAAATTTTAAAAAATCTAATTTTGTCATAAATTTAGGCCAAAATGTATTGTGCTACACGTCTTTGCTAAAAAAAAAATCCCAATACGTGTAAATTAATTGGTTTACGTGAAAATTATAGTGTTTACAAATGGTGGTATAGATACTGGAATTTTTTTTATTTTTTACTAGTAATGGCGGCGATCTGCGACTTATAGTGAGACTGCAGCGGGCATTCTGACACTGGGGGGAAATGACTTGGTGTCACTGACATCCCCAGTGACACCAATACAGTGATCAGTGCTAAAGAAAAGCACCAACACTGTACTAATGGCACTGGGCAGGAAGGGGTTAACATGATGGGCGATCAAAGGGTTAACTGTGTGCTGTTTCACAGTAAGCTCTGTGTGTGCTTCACTGTAATCACACTGCTTTGGATGGCAGTGCTGTGCATAGCCATCTAAATCCGCGTGCATGAGCTGACAGGGAGGAGATCCTTGGCAATCACCAAGCGCCGGCGAGTAATCACTGGCCGGGACCCGGTGATTGACAGAGGAATGGTGGCGCGGGTTTGGGGCACAGGCATCCCCTACCCGGAAATACAAAATCACACACACATATATATATATATATATATATATATATAATGTGATTTTGTGTACCCATGCCACCTTGTAGCAGTACATCTGCTATAGGGCAGTTGGGAAGCGGTTAAAGAAAACCACTTCCCATTTCATGCTGTCAGACGTGGTACCACATGGAAGAGAAATGTCACAAGGCCTGAGAAAGAAAATTTATTTACACAAGAAAGGTGAAGGCTACAAGAAGATCAGCAAAGATCAGCAAAGCTTTACTTATCAGTCAGAATATTGTAGCAAAAGTGATACAAAAATTTAAAAAAGATGCAACTGCAACCATCTCACAGAGACATCCATGTTGTCCACAGAAGTTAACACCTCGACAGTTCCGAGTGCCTTCTGCTGAGAATATTTGAAGAAAATATTGTTGGGTCAGTGCCAGTGTTGGGACCCTTACTTTTTAATGTATTTATAAACAATATAGGGTCTGGGATTAAAAATACCATTTCAGTCTTTGCAGACGACACTAAGATGTGCAGTGGAAAAACGTCCTTACAGGATGTCTTCAAGTTCACTGCAGTTAGCTAAAGAAATAGAAAGCCAAACTGGGGTGATTGTTTCCCATGACACAATACGGCGTACACTGCAGAGGAATGGCATGCATAGGTGTCGTCCACGAAGGAAGCCTCTCTTAAAGCCCACGCACAAAAAAGCACACCTATAATTTGCCAGGGCCCATTCTGAAAAAGAAGACTACTGGGACTTTGTACTCTGGAGTGATGAGCCCAAGATAAATGTTTTTGGATCTGATGGCTTCAAAACTGTATGGTGTCGCAAAGGTGGAGTACAAAGAAAAGTGCATGGTGCCTACAGTGAAACATGGTGGTGGCAGAGTCCTTCTGTGGGGTTGATTGAGTGCTGCTGGTGTCGGGGAGCTGCATTTCGTTGGTGGCATCATGAATTCACAGATGTACTGCTCTATATTGAAAGAGAAGATGCAACTATCACTCCATGTTCTTGGTCGTCGTGCACTTTTCCAACATGGCAATGATCCAAAACACACCTCTAAGGCCACTGTTGCATTTCTGAAGAACAGGGTTAAAGTGAGTCAGTGGCCAAGTGTGTCTCCTGATCTGAACCCAATCGAAAACCTATGGGAAATTCTAAAGAGACAATTTGAGCATCACTCTCCATCCAGCATCCAGGCTCTAAAAGAGGTTGTTCTTTAAAAATAGACAGACTTGGTGCGGCCCTTACAAATCATGGAGGTCATACAAAATTCTAGATGTAGTAGGTTTTGTTGTGGGGTGTATTAATTTTTGCATCAACTATTTTCAGTAAAACTGAAGATTGTGCAATCTAAAATTATGTTTAAATCTTACTTTTCAAAAGAGGTGTACTCATTTATGCTGAGCACTGTATATACAGTGCCTTGAAAAAGAATCCATACCTCTTGTTGGGCTTGTTGATCCACATTGTCATGTTACAACCAAAAACGTAATTGTATTGTATGTGATGTGTGTGAAGGGGGCTGAATACAAATGCACGCCACACTTTTCAGACATCTATTTGTAAAAAAATTTGAAAACCAGTTATTTTCTTTCAACTTCACAATTATGTGCCACTTCGTGTTGGTCTATCACATAAATCCCAATAAAATACATTTACGTTTTTGGTTGCAACATGACAAAATATGGAAAATTTCAAAAAGGGATGAATACTTTTTCAAGGCACTCTGTGTGTGTATATATTGTGGCAGAGTGTCCCAAATGAACCCTGGGAAAGTCCTGTTCGGGGTTTATAGATCTCCCAGGTTCCTTACCTATACCTTTAGAGATCTCGAATATGAGGTCCAGTGCAGGGTTTACCTCTCTCTCCATGGGCAATTAAATCCACCTGGGACCTGTAGCCAGAACTCTCGGCCTGCAGATCAGACAAGTCCTGTCTGGTATGCTGAAAGGTTGGTGGAAATGAACTAACTGCGTATGTTGTTGCTGACAAGCGGTAGGCTTGAACAGTTTGGTAGTTAGGACCTGCATTACGCTGTAGTGAGAGCTGGGACATTGCTAGGTTTTTTTTGTTTGATATTTTCCTGCCCTGTTTATTTTGTTTAAATGCTGTACAGCACTTTGTATATTTTGTAAATAGCACTAATAAAAACCTTCACTGTTTGCCACTAATCTCACTGGATTTGGATTTGAAAGACTGCTTACCCCAGGAAGCATATAGCCTGGCTGTCTAGCCCCAGCTCACATAAATATATATATATATATATATATTTCTATCCCCCACTCAAACAAAATTTGAGCCTGTCCTGCACCCATAAACATATTTGTTAGGGTGCCTATGTTTCTGAGCTTGTGCCGCTCAATAAAGATAAAAAAAAATTGTGCTTTTTTTTCACACCTCTCCAACTGCAGCCTTAAATCTAGACTCAACAGTAGACAGATTGATGATCCCACTAATGAATGTTTTGGTTTGAATGGCACAAAGCATGGCCACTTTAATCAGAGAGAAATATGGAAGCTATCTATGCTGACCTCTCCTGAAAATGCTAGTTCCCCTGTGATCAAGCTGATCACGGACCTGGAATAATTAAGCAGATCAGTAGCTCTGCCTTTTCTACAACTTCACTGGATGCATGATGTAAAAGTAATACAGCCAGCATGTTGGCCAGCAATGGCAGCCCTATATGTTTCTCGGCAAAGGGAGCTGGGGATGATGCATACTTTTATGGCAGGAGCTGTGGAAACTGCCTTTATACCACAATCGAGGGACCCATTTATATTTATTACTTGCTGCAGAGGCTAGAGAAGGAAGGGGAATCCTGTGTTTTGTTTTGTTTTGTTTTTTTTTTAACTCATCATTCATCTGTAAAAGGGTGTTCCTTACATTTTCACTCTCAATGGGTACACCAATGGCCTCTGGGCATAAATGGGAAGATAACCCACCATGAACTGGATTCTCTTTGCACATAGCTATGGAAGTAGTA